GAAAGAAAGAAAGAAAGAAAGAAAGAAAGAAAGAAAGAAAGAAAGAAGGAAGATATTGATAGATGATTAAAGAAGATAGATATAGACAGAGATAGATAGATAGATAGATAGATAGATAGATAGATAGATAATTAGAAAGAGAGAAGATAGATACATATAGACAGAGACAGACAGACAGACAGACAGACACGGGCACACACACACACACACACACACACACACACACACACACAGAAAGAGAGAGAGAGAGAGAGATGACTCTTTCTATTTTTCCTCTTCCTCACTGTAATGTCCACTAGAATTTTTAAGAAATGAAGAGTAAGGGACATCTCTCTTCCCCCTTTCTCTATATTCAGAATGATTTCACGAAAACCAATATCCAAAATTCTTTTTATCAATTACCACAATATTGGCTTTTTTCCAAACGTAATACTTTTAATAGCAGTAACAATAGCACTTAGACTTACATATCACTTCACAGTGCTTTACAGCTATCTCTGGGCAGTTTAGAAATGTCAGCCTCTTGCCCCCAACAATCTGGGTGTTCGTTTTACCCACCTCGGAAGGATGGATGGAAGGCTGAGTCAACCGGTCAGGATCGAACTGCTGGAAGTCACATGCAATACCGCATTCTCACCACTTTCCTTTTAAGTTGAATGTTGTAACAAAAGGCACCCTCGTTGCAAGGAATGCAGTAACTAAAGGCCAGAAAATGGATCACAAAATAAATACATTTCAAAAAGATGTTTCTGTGGCACAATGGATCTCAGAACACATTTATTGTGAAGTCAACAAATCTGGAAAACAGCTAGAGTCGACTTAACACTGACCTAGGCACTCAAAGTCGTAGACCAAGTGCCACAAAAATGCATCCGTTCTAGATTGTCTTATTGTATGGTCATGTAGGAGATGAAACAGGAGAAGGAAGACAGCGGCCTTTGGATATCCTATAGAGCAAGGGAGTCAAACTCAAGGCCTGGGGAATGGATCTGGCCCCTGGGGTGCTTAGATATGGCCTGCAGGGCCGCCCTGGAAGCAGCAAAGAACTGGCCCACGGTGCCTCTGCCAGTGAAAACAGAGCTCGGGAGGGCCATATGCGGGTCCTCCCAAACTCCGTTTTCACTGGAGGAGGGTTGCAGGAGGCCATCACAGCCGAAAACAGAGGTCAGGAGCCCGTTTTCATTGGCAGAACACTCGGGCTTCCACAGGTGCCCCCAAAATGAGTGACATCAAGCTGGCCACATTCACTCCGGCCCCACAAGGTCAAACACAACCCTGATACAGCCCTCAGTGAAATTGAGTTTGACACCCTTGCTCTAAAGAAAGCCCTCCCTAATAATGGCATTAAACTTAGTGCAGAGGTGGGTATTCAGCAGGTTCTGACCAGTTCTGGAGAACCGGTAATGAAAATTTTGATTAGTTCGGAGAATTGGTCAATGCCACCTCTGACTGGCCCCGCCACCATCTCTTCTCTGCCTCCCATTGAGTCACAGCTGATTGGCTGGGTCTTTTTTGGTTGCCCTGCACAGGAGAACGGAGCTGGAAAGCAGGTTAGTGGGGTGGGGAGGGAATGGAGATTTTACAGTATTCTTCCCCTGCCACACCCACCAAGCCACGCCCACATAAACAGTAGTAAAAAATTTGGGATCCCACCACTGGAAGGAAGACAGGAATGAAAGGAGAAGAAAGAGAGGAACAAAGGGAGAAGGAAGAGAGGAAGGAAGGAAGAGAGGAATAAAAGGAAGGAAGCAGAGGTGGTACTCAGCAGGTTCTGACCCGTTCTGGAGAACTGGTAGTGGAAATTTTGAGTAGTTTGGAGAACCAGCTAATCCCATCTCTGACTGGCCCTGCCCCCATCTATTTTCTGCCTCCCGAGTCCCAGCTGATCGGCTGGGTCTTCTTTGGTTGCCCTGCACAGGAGAACGGAGCTGGAAAGCAGTTTAGTGGGGTGGGGAGGGAAGGGGGACTTTGCAGTATATCCTTCCCCTGGCACGCCCACCAAGCCATGCCCACCAAGCCACACCCACAGAACTGATAGTAAAAGATTTTGACTCCCATCACTGACTTGGCGTCTTAATTCCCTAACACCAGCAGCACAGTTGCTTCACATTTCAAAGAAGGAAATGTATAGGAGTGTGCCATGAAACCTGTAGCAAGCTTAACATGCTATTTAGAAGAAACACCCTTCCCCCAGAAATACGATCTAGTGCCTGACAAAATCTTGCACACTTCCTACCGCTGTTCCTGTTTTCACAGCCTCCCAAGTCCTTCAGGTGTAGCTTCTGGCCACCAGAGGACAACACAGTCCTTCTCTTGTGATCTTTTATTTGCACTTACACTTGGACTGTTCTGTTCTTTTCCATCAGCTACCTTGAAATTGCAATTGGAGAGTAGTTTAAAAATACCTGTACGTACATACACACATAAAAGAACACTCTGACCCAGCACAGTTACGGGTACAGCAGATGTAAAAGCTACATCTAAGCCACATCCCTGAAGAGGCTTTTTAGACACAATTCATTCTAGCTGAATTGCAACTGTAAGAGATTTTGTTCTCTACCATAAGAGAACAGACTGACCCAAACAATATTTGAAAACATGTTAAGAAACCAAACATTCAGGGGTGCTTCATCAGCAAATGAGATGCCAATGAGTCACAGAATCCTAGTGCTGAAGGGACCCTGGAGGTAGTTACAGATTAACAGAGTTGGAAGGGACCTTGAAGGTCATCTAGTCCAATCCCCTGATGGTTGCAGTGTCCCAGGGACACGTGACCCCCTCTTTGCAACCTTCCGACAAGCAAATTAAGTAGGAAACCAGATTCACTTAAGGACCACATTACTAATTGAACAACTGCAGTGAACAAAAGTGGCAAAAAAAAACCCTTGTAAAAATGAGGCAAAACTCACGTAACAAATATCTCACACTTAACAACAGAAACGTTGGCCTCCATTGTGGTTGTAAGTTGAGGACTACCTGTGCTCCATTGATTAGTCGTTCTCACTGTTGGGAAATTCTTCCCTTATTTCCAGGTTGCACCTCTCTTTTATGATCTTCCATCTGTGACTTCTTGTCCTGCCTCCAGGTGTTAATGGAGAGAAAATCGAAGCCTTCTTCCCTTTGACAGCCCTTCAAGTATTGGAAGATGGCTATCGGGTCACCTCTAAGCCTTCTCTTCGTTAGGCTAAACATTCCCAGGTTCAGAACTGAGCTCCCAAATAAACATCAGCCAATTTAAATTGTAATGTTGTTGTTGTTTTTTTTGCAATGCAGCCCACTAAGCTGACAACACACAAACACTACAGTTCTCCGGATGAGGCCAACCAGGACAACAGGAGCTGAAAAGCACAATTATGTTGGTTTGGATCTTGTTTATTGTTGTATGGTTTCCTTTTTTAAAAACATACTTTTTATTAAACATTTTCCAACAATCTATAACATATTAATACTTTCAACAACATTAGAGTATCATCAACATTCATATTCATGCATTAATTACTGTATTACTTTTATGTCTATTATCTAACCAGGTATACCAGGCATCCCAGACCAAATAATACTCTGTTTCACCTCTCTCTTTTAACTCTAAGGTCAGCCTGTCCATCTCCACGCAGTCCAAAATCTTTCTTATCACAGTCCCCTCAGATGGTATATTATCCTGTTTCAGTACTGTGCACACACAATTCTGGCCACTGTTGTTATATGTAGAATGATATATTTGTCAGTCTTAGTATAATCTCCCCTTATTATTCCCAATAGAAACAATTCTGGTCTAAATTTGATTTTTTTTGTTTTGTTATTTCCTCTATCCACTTTTTGATCCTATTCCAGTAACTTTTAGTTTCCGGGCATGTCCACCACATGTGGAAAAAAGTGCCCTGTTTATTTTTGCATTTCCAACATCCTGGTTTTCTAGTTGAAAACATCTTTACCAATCTAGCAGGAGGTAGGTGCCATCTATAAAACATCTTTTAATGTTCTTGGGATTGGGCAGCGTGCAGATTAATCAAATAAATAAAATAATCAATATTGCTCTTTTGCAACTTTTATCTGCCACTGACATGTTTTGATTGCACTGTAATGACCCAGAGTGTAACACAAACGTAACAAAATCCAAAACGTAAATAAATGTCCTTTATTGCCTCCAACTTGGCCCCACTGTTCAATAATTCTCAGTTGGAGATAAAACATACTCAAAAATAGTCTTCAAAAGAAAGCAATACAGTCTGAATTTAATGAGCAGATAGAGGTGAAAAATAAAAACCAAACTACAATGATGAAATTTCCACAACGGAACAGGAGAAGCATTTACCAAATTCAAGGAGATAACAAGGCACAGTCTGTTGGAAGGATGCCAACCAAGATAACCTCAAACCAAAATAAAACACGCTTTGTCTCCAGCGTTTGCCAGAATGCAGGTCCAAACTCTTATGCAATTCTCACAACTGCAGCCCATGAAGAGGATCAAGGCCCTCTCCTCCAGAGTAGACCATGTCTCTCCTTTATCCTCTCCTCCTTGTGTGCCCTAGGACAGATAGGGGATGGGCCTGGGTCCTCCTCTGACTGCTCGGCTGGCCTCTGCCCTTCCCCAGCCTCCTCCACAACCTGCGGAGCCACACATCCACTCCTTGTCGGCTGTTCCTCCTTCCCTCAGAGAGTCTCCACCAGAGGCATGACATGCACGATTGTTTTGACAGGAGCAACCTATATTATTGTATCATGCAAACCATCTGAATTGACTGGCTTCCCATTATAGAATAGAGTAGAGTAGAGTAGAGTAGAGTAGAGTAGAGTAGAGTAGGGTAGGGTAGGGTAGGGTAGGGTAGGGTAGAGTAGAGTAGAGTAGAGTAGAGTAGAGTAGAGTAGAGTAGAGTAGAGTGGAGTAGAATACTTTATTGGCCAAATGTGATTGGACACACAAGGAATTTGTCTTGGTGTAAATTCTCTCAGTATACATAGAAGAAAAGATACATTCATCAAGAGTCAAGGATCATAAGGTACGACACTTAATGATAGTCATAGGGTACAATATTAAACTATAACATGTCTTGCTTGGATTTGGCTGAGCCATCCTGGCTTCTGTATATTGCAGTTATGGTTTAACATGATGCACGGATACAACCTATTGTGTCTCATTTCACAAACTGAGCTGAAACAAAGCAAAGTTTAACCTAGTGCAAGAACCAAGCTATTGTTTATTACCTTTGCCATGGAAGCAGCCTGAGAAATTCTAGTTATAGATTGGGTCCCCATTAAAGAACCAAGAATAGCATGGAGTTATTGAAATTTTCTAGATATGTCTCCTGATCTTTAAAAGCTGGTTCCATCTGGATTGGCAGAGAGAGAGCCCAACAGAGAGAATTATAGCTGCAAACGAGGCAGAATCACAGTTTCAAACAGGACAAACAAAGGTTGTGTTGACAGATATTATCCTTTGGTGGGGCACTTTCCCTGCATGGGAATACCAGCATATATTAAAGAACAAAAAGGAAAAGCTTTCAGAAGAAGTCAAATTGGACAAATTAAAAAGAGCAAATTGAAGATTATTCTAGAGGCCAGATTTTGTGAGATAAATTATTTTCAGCAAAGAAAGCATTCAAAACCCTGGCACCATTTGGCTTAAGGTGTTCCTAAACACAAGGTCTTCTAAAAGCATCCATACACACATTTTGGACATCCTCTATTGTTTCTGTTTTGTCTTTTCCTAGCTGTTGTGTCTTCTTTTCTTATCTTCATCTTGCCACTTGTCCAAATCAAGTTAACACACCCAACGGAATCAAAACTCCAAGGCAGGCACATTACTCAAAGTATCAATTTATTAGGCACATCATATTGGCACATCTGGGGAAAACCCGACTCTGGAGGACATGAGGTTTTCCCCACGCAGATCAAACCCCAAAGTTCTTCTCTTCAGGTCACATGTCCGTCACATGGTCCAACTAAATCGTATGCACCATTCTGGCTCACTTTGGTCCATGCCCTTCCAACACCTGGTAGAATGTCCTTGGCTCCCACAGGAAAGAATGTTGTTTTGGCAACACATCCCCAGCTATCTCTATCCCCTCCCCCCTTGAAGTTCTCACAGCTTCAAGTGGCTTGAAGCAGGCTCTGGCAGCCATGAAGATGATTCCAAAATGGCTCCAGCTTAAAAAACGGCTTCAGGGCTGACACCTTAACTTACTCTTTCTCTGATTCCGAAGTGATGAAGCTACGGCAGTGTCCATCATCTTCATTTTCCTCTCCATATCCCCAAAGCATTCGTTTATGGATGCTTTGGGAAACGAGATGCTAAGTATTACACTTCAGCATGACTCTACGGTGTGAAGCTTGAAGTTTTCACAACGTTATTAGAGGGAAAAAATAAAGAAAAATTGCAGTCCTGCCGCCTCCCACTAAGAAGGGAAGAAGGGATATGTTTGGGGGAGGAAGAAAAGCAAAGAAAGACAATATGTGAGAGAACAGAACCTCTTCTGAATCCATCATATGTGACACTGAATTTAGAGCTCCTAAGATAGTGGTGGCTAACCTTTTTGGGCTCCTGGGTTGAAAATTAGAAGAGAGGGAAGCCTCTGCAGCCTTTGGAGGGTGAAAAATGGGCCCATTTCGTCACTTCCGGTATTTCAGGAAATATAGGAAGTGATGAAATGGGCCTGTTTTTCGCTCACATGCCACCACCCAGAAGGCAATATTGTGCCTCCCCATGCCCCCTGCACATGTGCGCACAATGCCCTCTCCCATGCTGCCCCCTTACTTGCACTGCACATGCGCGCACCTCCCAGCTGATTTTCAGGCCTTTTTTGGCCTCTCAGAGGCTCGAGGGAAGCCTCTGCAGCCTTTGGAGGCTGAAAAATGGGCCCATTTTGTCACTTCTGGTATTTCAGGAAATATAGGAAGTAATGAAATGGGCCTGTTTTTCGACCTCCAAAGGCCGCAGAGGCTTCCCTCGAGCCTCTGGGAGGCCAAAAAAGGCCTGAAAATCAGCTGGGAGGCACGAGCATGTGGAGTGAGATAAGTTTGCCTAGGGCTCGCGTGCCCACACAAATGGCTCTGCATGCCATCATGGTCCTAGGAGGATACTGAACCCCAGAAATATCAGTTGTAAAACATAACTTGGCATAAATTCATTGTATTAAGTACATTATATACAAGTAGTCCTTGACTTAAAATCACGATTGAACTCCAAATTTCCACTGCTAAGCAAGAAAGCTGTTAAGTGAGTTTTGCCTCATTTTATAACATCTTTTGCCAGCGTTGTTAAGTGAATCGTGTGGTTATTAAGTGAATCTGCCTTCCCCCATTGACTTTGCTTGTCAAAAGATGGCTGGGAAGGTTACAAGTAGTGATCACGTGATCTCCTCCCAAGGACAGTGCAGCTGTCGTAAATGTATGGCAGCTGCAAGTGCTCGTATTTTGATCATGTACCCATGGGGATGCTGCTATATCACAGGTGGTATCCAGCAGGTTCTGACCAGTTCTGGAGAACCAGTCACGGACATTTTGAGTAGTCTGGAGAACCAGCCAATCCCACCTCTGACTGGCCCTGCCCCCATCTATACTCCGCTTCCCCTTGAGTCCCAGCTGATCGGCTGGGTCTTCTTTGGTTGTCCTGCACAGGAGAACGGAGCTGGAAAGCAGGTTAGTGGGGTGGGGAGGGACTGGGATTTTGCAGTAACCTTCCCCTGCCATGCCCACCAAGCCACACCACATCCACCATGCCACACCATGCCCACCAAGCCACGCCCACAGAACCGGTAGTAAAAATTTTGAATCCCACCACTGTATTACATGTATGAAAACCAGACATAAGTCACATTTTTGATGCCACTGTAAACTTTGAATGGTCACTACATGAATGGTTGGAAGCCAAGAGCTACCTGTATAGACGTCCCACTGTGGACTCTTGTGGCTAAATTCAATACATCCTTCTTATTTTTAGTGCTGTTGGAATATTTGAATTCAAATACTTTATTGTCATTGTTCGGATATACACAGTATATACATACAATGAAATTTACATAACACCCAGAGACCAGACCCAACACACACACGCACACATGACAATCCTCAAACAGGCAAACAACCCCCCCCACCTGCCAAAATTCCCCACCCCCTAAAAACACACAAGCATCCCCACAACAGACCAGGTGATATTGTCCAACAGCTCACTGATGGTGGTCTTAAGTTCATTGCTAAGTGCAATTATAGCTCTGGGATAAAAACTGTTCAGAAAACATTTGGTCTGAGTTTTAATTGTTCTGTATCTTCCAAAAAGATTGTAAGCAGGATGGGCAGCATTTTTGTCCCCTACAGAGCTGCTCCCATACCATGCAGGAATGCTGTGTGTCAGGACACTTTCAATGGTGCTGCAGTAGTAGAACAGAAGTAAATGCTGAGATAGATTTATCTTCTTGAGCATTCTCAGGAAGTACAGCCTCTTCTTCTGTGCCTTTTTTACAAGCATGTTAGCATTCATAGTCCATGAGAGGCCTTCCGAGATATTAGTGCCCAGAAATTTAAAACTACCAACCCTCTCCACCTCCTCACCATTTATGTACAACGGTAAATGTACATCTCTCTTCCTCCTGAAGTCAATTATAAGTTATTGAGGGTTTTTTGGTGTTAAGTGTAAGATTATTTTCTTTATACCACAGTGGCAGCCCTTGTACTTCCTTTCTATAAGCGCATATAGCAATTAATTTAAAGAAGCAATTGGGGTTATAACATTGTTATATACTTAAACAGAGCTGAATGATTTTTTTGACCTGTTAGATGATTTAAGAATTGATGATTTATTGAATTCATTAAGACTAG